GTTTAGTTTGTTTAATTTTATTTTTAGTAGCTGTAGTTTTAAAAAAAAAACTGGAATTGAACTCTCTCTGCCTTATAAGATACTGGTCTAGCGCTGAAGCAACTCTGACATCTGTCGTCAATATTGCAAGAACCGGGCAAAAAAGAAAGGTGCATCCTCTGTGAGAATGTGCTCTGTGTTGGTACTGTTTTACTTCAGACAGTGCATTTTTTAGGCTTGTCATTGAGGACTGTCAAGCAGTGCAGAAACAAAAGGCTAAGGAAAAGCACACGCTGTTGTGCTCGTCCCTGTGGACCGCAGGGACGGCCCGCGTGCAGGCACGGCTCCGTGACGCCGAGACGTGCCGAGAAGCACACGGGCGGTTGCTGCTGGTCCGTGTGAGCTGGGCTGGCCCGGGCCGCGTTGCCGAGGGCTCCTGTGAGCAGCTCCTCAAAGGAGAGCGGGCCCCGCGGCCGCCCGCGGTGCGTCACGGCGCTCCGCACGTCTCCTCGTCCGCACGCAGACGGGGACCGAGGTTCTGCATGCGAGACAGTGAAATAGCACCTATAAAACAGGTCGTCCAGGCTCCCTCAGGAGCTCTGTGCCGACACCACCTCCGCAATCAGGCCGCTCTGACCTGGCGCCTTGACTCCGTGACGTGTCCTGCAGCAGTAAATGCTCTGGCGCTACGAAATGGAGGTTTATGTACCTGAAACAATGTGAATAACGGCAGAATGCAGCCACAGCTGAGCAGGCTCAGAATAAGTGTATTTCCTACTGTTAGTAGTCTACCTAGAATGCAGGAATGATTTTGTCTTCAGACCTCTCAGAGTAAGTTCAAGGGTCCCTGCAAGTTCGTGTATTGAAAACTGTTACCTAATTGCCATCACTTTGCAAATGACACCCCAAAATCCCAATCCCAAATTGGATATGGTAGTACTTGTGCATTAGAAATATTCCAAAAGTAGATGTTGAGGAATTTGGTTTATTGGGCTTATTTTTCTTTTTTTTTTTTTTTAGTGTGCCTGTGTGTGTGTGTTGTGTATAGAACTGTGTGTGTATATAGAACTGTTGGTAGAACTTTAAATCTCTTTGAAATAACATCATCGTTAGTGTTTGTTCAAACACTTGGTGTTTTCACTTGAATTGCAGCTCGGGCGCTGGCTCCTGACCTGAGCCGCTGCAGGTGTGAGCTTCACCCAGGGCATTTCTGCAGCCAGAGCAGGGTTAAGCCGGGGAAGGGGAAGAAATGAGAGAAAACTGGAGGGAAAAAAAAAAAAAAAAAAGCTTAGAAACAAAATCCTGCAAGGTCCAAAACCAAAAATGCTGCGACAGGGTTGCATGACAGAGGGAGTCATTTCAGAGCGTTTTGGGATCGTGGTTTGGGGTTTTCCGTTGTTCCCGTTGCCTCCTCTGTTGGACAGCGTCCTGGCAGGCGCCCGAGCTGATCCATGAAGCTCTGCAGTCGTGTCCACGCGCTCACTGGAGTTGGAAACGCACGTGTCCTTGCTGCGGGCTCCTTGGGCGCGCGGACTCTTGCTGCAGCCATCGCACCACGCTAGCGGAGCCCTGAAATCCCGTCCTGTGTGAAGATGGAGCTCTGCCCAGCGCTTGCAGACCCTGCAAGAGCGAAGGGGCGCTTAGAACAGTCTGCGCTCTCCTGTCAGGACACTGATGTGTCCTACTGCTCCCCCACGGAGCTCCCTTCCCTGTTGGGGGTGGGAAGATACACATTTTCCTCCCTTGTTTTCTTGTGTTGTAGCAAGATGCTCTGTGCTCGTCAGCAGAGGAGCTAAAGCTCCAGTGCCGGAGTCCGGGAAGGCAGGCGGAGCTGTGGGGAGGGGAGCTGGTCCCCGGCCGCGCGGGGGGACATTTTGCTCCGCCTCTCTTCAGTTTCTTTGCGGCCGCGTGTCCGTGGGGCCGTGTCCGCGCCGTGCCTGGGCCCTGCGCCTCCC